CAGGGCCCTGTCCATCGAGTCTGGGCCTATTTGCACCAGCTGAGGATCTGGCACAGATACGGACCCAGACATGACATTTTCAGTCCAAAGGGAGCAGCCCGACTTCAGCAGATTGGATAACGAGGCCAAAGAATTCAGTCCTGTCTTGACTCCTTGTGAAATTTTCTCACAAATGGTTTCTTTAACAAGAACATCTAATCTCTGCCTTCCTGGATCCCGAGGAGGGCTTCCTGAACACAGAGAGATATTCTCTTCTCAGAAAATTATAGCCATCAAACTCGAAGCGAGTAACAAATGCAGACCTCGGTGTGCCCGATGGTGGGGATGGCCTTGGTCATCCCCACAGGTTGAAGTACCGCGGTGGTGGCAATGCCATAGAGATGTCACTGGTCTTGAGGGAGCACAGAGGTGGCTTTAGCACTGCACATCATGCGACTACTTGCTGATGGCTGTAGCAGATGAGATTTTTCTGCTCATAAATCCACTTTCTGGTCCTGAGCAGCCAGAGATGCTGTCTTTGTGGCTGAGAGCATACCACGAAGGTGTCCTCTGCCTCGGTTTCCCATTTATGACGGCAAGGTTATTTCCTGTAAAGACTTTCTTTTACTCATATGTATTTTTGCCATGATTCCCAGGAGGGGTGTTGATCTCCACAGCACCCCAACAAGCGTTATATCAGAGCAATACAGAACAGGGAGCTGCCTTGGGTCACAGGTGCCCGTGCTAGGTTGGTTTTACTCTCAAATGTCAGTGCAACATTTTGCCTGGGACAGCAGCAGCTGAAGATAGGGACAGTTTTGCACGAGGATGGATTGACCATCCCACCACAGCCATCCTCAGGGTCAGGGGAGATGCTGGTCTGCTCCCCAAGGCCTCCTTGCTGCTCCTGATCGTTGGTTCCAGCATCCCTGCATGTCCGGACATTCCCGACCGAGGGAACATGGAATCCGAGGCGGAGGGGACCAACGTTGCCCCTTCCTTCAGCTGCAGCCCTGGGAGCGGGTGGCTGCACAAAACCAGAGAAGTAATTTAGCAAAATAGAAGGGCAATTGGGAAAATCATTTATTTCTTGAGGCGTTTACTGGCATTTGCTAGTTTTCCCTCTGGGCTTGGGTTGTTCAGCGCTCTCCCCAGGTTTAAGTAAAGGTCAGCAGCTTGCTCACGCGCGCTTAGTAATTACCTTGCCCTTGCTTTTCCCTGCTATTTGCAGTTGTGCTCAATGCAGGCATGAGATTGCTCCAAGTTCAGGCCCCTTCTGTCTTTGACTTTAAAGGAATACAAGGCGGGCACTGTTGTTCTGTTAGATAAAACTAGCCCTAATGCTGCCCTCGAGGTGCATTGGTGCTATATTAGCACATGAAACGCAGTGCGATTTGTCTGCTGCCGCGTGGGGAACACAGGGAATTCTTGGGGATTTTTGATCACTTCAAAAAACCACATTCTTCAATTAGCCTCTGAAGAGCTGCCTTCCCACAGCCAGTGCCTTTTCTTTCATAATGCAAGTCAGGAGGTGGTATCTTGGGTTTTATTTCTTGCTGTCTGTTAGTCAGCATTAGGGAGCTCTGCAGGCACTTTCAGGGCACTACTGTTAAGATACCAAACAGATTTGTTTTAGTTTTCTCTTTCTGAGAGGACTGGGAGAGGTGATTCTTACCTCCTCCTCCTCTTCCTCCTCCAGTCTCCCGTAGTGCACAGTCACAGCAGTCTCTGACATTCAGGTGAGTAACTTTTGGAGGCATAAACCAAGTTTATTTTGTATGATAGTAACTAGGAGGGCGAAGGCGCAGATTTAAGCAGTCATTGCTTCGCACAGGCACCTGCAGAGCCCTTGCTGAGGACTGCAGCAGACTTTGGATCCGGTGCTGATCCCAGAAGAGGTGGTCCTGGCATTCCCGACCCGTGCACCAGCACCAAAACCCTCTCGTGTTCATCTCGGAGCAACCCCTGTGTGCAAAGGCAAAGTAAACTGGATTCAGACTCCTGTTTCTTTAATGAGGTTGCTGTCCCTGAAGGAAATAAAATCTCTTCTTGTGTAAGAATATTTTCAGAAAGAATGGGAATTAGTTCCTTTTTTTCAGTGGAAGTAACCATCAAAGACTTGGTCTTTCCTGTAATCACTGTTAGTCTCAGGGACATTCGCAAAAGAAAGCAAGATATAAACCACAAAAACAGTGTTGTTTTTCATTCAAGCCTACATTTTGTAACTGTCAGTTGTACATGTGGACTCTTTGCACAGCTTTTTCTCCGGGGCTAGCTAGTAAATGTTTTACTGAGACATATTTGTAATCGTTTCAGTTTTGTTTTATTAACTGGAATCTGTGAAGAGCATCTGTTGCTCTATGTCCGCAGCGTCATGTCAGCCCCATTTGGTGATGTGCTGGGTTTGACAACAGCTTTAAAGCTGGCAAGAAGCATCGTTAGGACAAGTGTTCCAACTGGATTTGTAATGCAGAGGGTGTCTCACTGTCTTGCTTTCCACTGGCTCTGTCCAAGAGGAGCTAAGAGAGGGGATAAGAAGAATACGCCCAGAGATTGTGGTTTCCATTGCTCAGGCTTACATACATTTCCTTGTATGTAAGAGCAAGGCAAAGGCCTGGGGCTCACTTGCTCCTTGGCTTTCACAGGTGAAATCCTGCTTTGGTATGAGGGAAGTGGAGATGGATTCCTCATCAGAGCCACCAGCTCCTTATTCCCTCTGGTTGAGGCTGCGGGTACCACATGAGTGCCCAGGTTTCTAGATGGCCATCAGGACCCCTGATTTTTCTCCTCTCTGTATCCCAGAATTAGGTTCCTCTTCCCAAATGTGCTCCATGTGTGTGACTGTGGAGATATCCTGAAGGCTCATTTAATTTCCCTCGGATAAAGCCAGTACCTGTGAATGCCATGGTGACTACTTCATGAATGAACCCTTTCTTTCTTTTTCTGTGCTTTCTTTCAAATAAAATGTTTCCTTACAAGACTCTAAAGCATAAAGGGATCCACACCAATATGGCCACACTGCAGTGCCTTTGGTCTGTTCAGATTTCTTCTTTGTGGAAAGGCTGTTTGATCCATCTCCCACCAATTCCTGCATGCCTGTCCTTTCAGCCAAGGCATTGGAAAGGTGTCTTTAGAGATAGAAAGCCAGTGACCTGGCTGGGGGATGATCACTGCAGTCACAAGGGCTTGACATGGGCAAGTTACCAAGGGTTAAAAAGTGAGGAGGACACAGTTACCTTGCCAAGGGCTCGCTGGTGAATGTAACCTCAGCCATGCGGAGGAGAAGACCATAGGAACCCGGAGCTATCACTTGGGGCAATGTAATGCATGCCACAGTGCAGGAGACATTCACAACTGCTCTTCAGAAAAAAAAATCCTTCACTAACTTACTGGCAAAGGGTTATTTTGTGATGATGACAGATTGCAGATGTATTCTCCGGAATCCTGGAAAACACTTAACTGGAACAGGAAAAATGTCACGGTTAATTGCTTTAGCATGTTACTGTCTATTTAGGAACTCGGGTTCCCGGGGGATCAGTTCTAGGACCTGGGCTGTTCACAGCCCTCCAAAACACCATCCAGATGCAGCCCTGGCCTTGGCACTGGTTATTCCTGTGCTCGGGAGAAGCTGCATGGGCAGCCCCACGGGCAGAGCTGCTGGATGCTCATGGAGGCAAAGGGAGAAGGAAAGGCCTTCGGCTGCTCTCCAAAGGCTCAAATGCTCCTGAATGTTCTAGGAATTAGAAAAGAAACAGAGACATAAAATGACTTTTTGCTTGCGGAGAGAGTAGATGGAGTAGTATTCTTCAGCTCAAAAAGAGATGTCAGTTGGTGGAGAAGATGAAGGTCTGTAAAATCAGCTGAGGAGGTGGAGAAGGTAACAGTTCTCCAATTATTCATTGTTTCTTACAGCAGAAGTGCTAAGGGGAATCAAAGGAAGTTTATCAGGCAGCAGATTGAAAGCACGCAGGAAATATTTTGTTCACACAACAGATATAAGTTGTTGAACTAATTGCTTCTATACCTGTGGAGGCATAGAAGGCATGGAGAGTGCAAGAAGACAGGTCTCCTAAGGGTTATTTAAAAACAAAAAAAAAAAGACTGTGGATGTAACTTCTGGATGTGGAATTGTCTAAGCTATAATGCCAGTAGCTGCCCCATTTTATGTCATATCCCTAAATATCTGGACCTGGACACTACCAGAGGAAAGATGGAGCTAGGTGAGTCCACAAGGGTCTAACTAGGTCTGGCCCACCATGTCCTTCCTACGTTCTCACGTAAACATGGGTTATGGTATTCCAAAATTCATTCTTATCCCTTGTGTTAGTTTTGGGTGTTCCTAGACAGATTTCTTTGAAGGATTTTCAGCATCTCTCTGTGTGTGAAGCTCATTGAGGTGAGATGCTCCATTGCTGCTCCTCTGCTCCCTCTTCTTTCCATCCCCGCAGTACATGGCTGAGGGCTTTCAAAAGGTAGAAGAGATGAGATATAGACAAAGAATGTTAAAATAATCAGCACTTACAGGACATGAGTATTGGGAGATGTTGCCTAGAGGGGTATGAATAGAGCCCTTGAGATGCTTTCCTTCGTTCCCTCCTGCTGTGTGCAGTCCTGGACAGCCACACTCCAGGCTGGATGCTCCGGGCTCTGTTTTCTGGCTGTTGTGTCAGTCGGACTACAATTTTCATTACACTTTTCGTAATGTCGTGGTGTCGGTTGCTCCAGTTCTTATTGTCATGTTCAGGAGTCTGGGCAAGTACTGAGGCAGGTCCTGTGTGCTGTTGCCTTTGCATTTGAGTGTGTAACTGGCCAAAAGAACTAGAGCCAGATAGTTCAAGCAAGTGATAATTCTCATTTTTGAGGTGAGAACTCCACTCTCTTGTGGATGAAATAACGGGACAAGTCGAGTTTTCTGAGAGCTCTGCTCGACAGAGCTAAATAAGACCCAGTCCAGAGCTGGGAACTTTGCTGCTGTGAGTCTGTAATATGAGGGGCAAAACGATCGTTTTTCTATCAAGATTATATAATGTTTTTAGCAAAGTTGCTACTAAACCAGAGCTAGATAAGGACCCAGTCTAGAGCTGGGAGGTTTGCTGCTGTGAGTCTGTAATATGATGGGCAAAGCGGTTGTTTTTCTATCAGGATTATTTAATGTTTTTAGCAAAGTTGCTACTAAATTTTAGTAGGTGTAACTCTTTTGCATTTTGGTATTTTCTTCTTCGAAGTTTACTATTAATCAGTCTCCTGCCTCTGATTTCACAAGCTCCCTGAATGGGGAGGCACAGGGGACCCAGCTGCAACACAGCACGTTTTTAGTGTAGTAACTGCCTTTTCTACCACCACAAATCCCAAGTAATGCTGGAAAAAGAACCCGATGACTCCGTTACACTGGGTTCAGTGCGGAGACCTGCGGAAGCTCCCAGTGGAGGGTGGTTGCACTGTGGAGCTGTGCTCCCTTGGGGGACATTCCCAGAGGTTCTCCCTTCCACCTGGGATCCTCAGTTCTCTTCTGAACAGCTTTTGGCAGGGGCTGGACACAAGCAGGACCCACAGCCTCTGTCCTGCCCCTCTGGAGTCCTGCCCAGCACAGTAACTCACTCTTTCTGCTCTTGCTCTTTTAGGGATCTCCATGCCCATTCCGGTCATTGGTTTGCAGGACGACTCCAGGGTATTTGTAAATGGGAACTGCGTCCTCAACGATGAGAACTTTGTCCTCATCGGGTCCTTTGTGGCGTTCTTCATCCCCCTCATCATCATGGTGATCACGTATTGCCTCACCGTGCAGGTGCTGCAGCGCCAGGCGACCGTGTTCATGTGTGGAGAGGTGCCCAAAGGGCGCAGGAGCAGCGTGAACTGCCTCAAGAAGGAAACCAACGCCGAGAACGTTTCCATGCTTCACAATCACGAGGGGGCATCGCACTTGAACTCTCCGGTGAACAAGGAAGCGGTGCTTTTCCGGAAAGGAACTATGCAGTCCATCAACAACGAGCGAAGAGCCTCCAAGGTCCTGGGTATCGTCTTCTTTTTGTTCCTCATCATGTGGTGCCCGTTTTTCATCACCAACATCATGTCTGTCCTTTGCAAGGAGGCATGCGATAAAGGGCTCCTGAGCGAACTCCTGGACGTGTTCGTTTGGGTCGGGTACGTTTGCTCCGGGATCAATCCCCTTGTATACACACTCTTCAATAAAACCTATCGCAGGGCTTTTTCCAATTATATCCGCTGCCAATACAAGACCAGTAAAAAATCAGCGGTGCGACAGAATCAGTGTCTGAATGTTGCTTCCACAGCATTATATGGGAAAGATCTGACTTTAACTAGTTACCGAAACGGCAATGAACTCAACAGCATGGAACTAGATGAAGTTGAGGGTCTACAAATGCAACCAGGGACTTCAGAGCTCTCCATAAACAGCTGTAATGTTGTAAGCGAGAGAGTGAGCTGTGTATAAAGATGGCTCATTCCAGGTCTTTTGCTACAGTGTACCTGTAGCCAAAATATATTGTGTAAAAATGTAAGTGTTGGTCAAAGGACTATGTAAATACTGCATTCTGAACAAAACTTTTTTTAAAAAAGAAAAAAGAGTTGTCTTTCCAGTCCAGTACTTAAAAATCATATATACTAATATACTGCAGTGAAGTTTAAGGTTCTATATTTACTGTTAATACTAGATCAGAAATATTAGTTACTTTGCATATGTCATGGACAAACTGTTTGAATTCTTCTTCCAGTGCATGAACAAAAAATGCTGAATATTTATCTCAGGTGGCATTTGCTGGAGTCCAGAATGGCGCGTTAATAGTTATATATCAAATACATGCTATTAGACTTGGTCAATATAACTTTTTTTTTTCCAGTTGACAGTAAATATATACTTTAAATCCTCACCCCCATTTGTGCGGTGTGAAGGCTGTGCAGAGCCCTGGCAGGGAGGCATCACCGGCGCGTTGCAGTGCAGCTCGCTGGCGTCTTGGGACAAGCTGGTCCCTGGCCTCCAGGGACCTGTCTAGAGCTTTGGTTCTTTCTTCAACCCTTCTAGATTTCTGTTTGCCTGCTGCTCAGTTAGAAAGGTAGGGAAGACTTCGTTGCCTTGGCTCCATCCCTTGGTGGGGAGCCTGAGATTCAGGCCACTCTGGGGTATCCAACTGAGCTGTTTTTTAAGGGGATCATCCCAGATGTGTGACAAGACTCACTTCATCCCAAAGATGAACATGGTACCAGGCCCTCATCCTTTGCAGCTGCCATCAGCTCAGCGCGGGCGGCTGGTGGCCATCACTTGTGGCATGCTGAACCATTTGCATCAGTTATTTCTTATTTTACCCAGGGAAGAGCTTTTGGCCTTTGTAGGAGCTCTTGTCTTCTCGCTCCTCACATCTCTTTATTGCCTGGCTTGGTTCGCATTGGCTTTTCTTTCCCCACCCCCTCAAAAATCTTGGGATTTGCAGTATTAAAATTCCATCAATCCAACTTTTGGAGCAGTGTTGAAGCAAGGGTGCAGGCGGGCAAAGGACAGGGCAGTGATCACTTGCTGGTGTCATGGTCCAGAAACCACCATGGTCAGGGCCAGGAAGGAAGAACACGAGGAATTATGACCTTCATTAACTAATCCTCAAACCTAACCTGATTGCATTTGGCATCACCAACAGCAAATCCTCAGAACAGAAAAGCTTCGTGGGCAAGTTATGTTCTATCAACATGACCCCTCGTACTCTAAGCTTATTGTGTTCACCACATCCAAATTGTCTTGTAGGGGAAACAGAAAATTCAGCTCATGCTTTACTCTACTGTTGTGCCCTTATCTTCCTGCGTAGAGGGAATCCACTGCCAAAATATGGCATAGGGCTTGCATCTGCTGCTGGGATGCTTCCAGCTGAGAGCCTGAAGGTGATGGTCCTCTTGAACTATTGAACTGCTTCCAGCAGCACCCAAAAATCAGAAGGGTGGCATTGCTTTTGACCCCCACCTTTATTTTTTTTTCCCTTTGGCCTTAGGTGACTTCATAACACGTCTTTTACAAACGTGTATATGTGTGCGTGTATATATATGTGTGCGTGTGTGTACATATATATACACATATATATATTCAAAAGCCAACCACAGACTCTGAAAGCATTTAGCAATAAGTTGAATTGCAGGAACAGGAGCTTATTGCTTCTTTAGCAGTAAGTTGAATTGCTCCTGCAGGAGCAGGACTAGCGCTCGGGCATGAAAGCTCCTTTGCCGCAGCGTGCTCCAAGTCCACCCAACGGCATCATCCTTGCGTAGGAGCTTCCATGCCTCGCTCCTGCCAGCTCTGTATGGGCAAAAAGGGACCTGCTCCATTGGGGTGTAAATAATGAGAAATGAACAGAGAATTTGCAAATTTTTAGAAGATTTTCTTTTTTAAAAAAAATATTTGGTGCCAGAATAAATACATAGAGTGTTGCTGCTCGGCTGGCCCCATTCTGGTGTGCGATGAGGAGCCGAGGGGACTTCCCCGGAGCGCCTGCGTTCTCTCCCTGCCAGCGGACGATGACGTTTTGATGAATGGTTGAGTGCTGTCACTTACCCAACTTCCTTTGGGTCATTCACATCAGGGTTTTGTGATGCTGCTATTAATTTATTAAAGAAAATTTGTTGGTTTAATCACTCTTACTTAACTTTTTTTTCACGGTCTGTTGGAAAATAAGCAAACGTGCCCTTCCTTTCCTCCATCTGTCCCTGATTAAAGTGTGTCCTGACCAAAGGAAAAACAGCAAAAGTTAGAATAAGTAACTTTCATTCATCTTTCTGCTCTTGCAGTATAGTCCACTGTTGCTTAAGCCCCTGAAATTGGTGCCAGCAGATATCCCTAGACTCCCTAAGCTTGGTAAATACAAAGAAAGTGATTAACTCTTCCACCATTTCCCCTGGAATATCGCTCAAACGTGACATTTTTTAATAAGTGTCTCAATGTAAGAAGCTGATTTCGTTCTGTGCACCTTAGCAAAGGCCAGGCTGTGCTTGCAGCAGCTTTGTGCCTGCTGACTTGTGCTGGGAAAGCTGGTTGTGGCATCCGTGCCCTGCTGTGTTCAGGCTAGGAAGCATGAGAAGATGTTTGAGCTTGGGAGCACCCTGTTTTACACCGGCTGGGTGCAAGGCTGGCCCTGTCTGCAGGGACAACGCTTGGGAAGAGCCTTAGGGCCATGACTGGTTGACAAGGCTTCCCACTGCTGCGACTTGTGAGTTAGCAGCAGCTTTTATCTGAGTGGTAATTTAGGGATGCTGATGCATATGTGGGAGCAGTTGGTGTGAACAACGTGGTTATCCTGGTCTCTTTTACCCTATAAAGCCGTTGCTGCCTTCTTTGTGGACAGCTCTACAACGAGGTTCACCTCTGGTGTAGCTGGGGCTTTCCAGCTCCACGTCCCCGTAGCGTGTACCCTTGCAGCAGGCTGAGTGCAGTCATCTGCTGCACTAAAGTCACCCTCCCTGGTGATGGAGACCCAAATTCCAAAGGAAAAAACATCTTTTAAGGAAAAAAAAAGCAAATCACAGGTAGATCCTCCTGTTCAGAAATCTTATTTAGCTTTTAGCTGGTGAGAGGTGTTGGACAGTCCTGTAGACCAGCGATGCTACTCTGGCGTTCCCAAAGCCGTGGCCATCATGTGATATAGACGCAGATGTCACTTGGATGGGTTTCCTGGTGTGGTCACAGTGTCATTCGGTAGCCGCTCACCAAGCCAACAGCTGCGCTCGGCTTTGCCTCCATGTGAGACAAGGGTGGAAAAGGCATCAGAAGCATTTTGCTGGGAAAAGGCTTGTAGGGGTGGGCTGATGTACGCACCGCTCCGTGCCCCAAACACAAGGACCTGCAACCCGAGCCCACGGGAGGCAGCAAGAGCCATCGCGTTTCAGCCGACCCTGAAGAAATGGGAATAGCTGGACAGCTGGGGGTGAAAACTGTAATGGGGAGATCAAATGTGGGGTGTAGGTGGCATGGCAAAACATGGGCAGTTTTAATGATGATCTAATACCAAAGGTGCACGCAACACAGAATGCCTTCTGTTTTTAACTGTGATGTTGTTATTGGCTGCCCGTCCCTTGTTTTTCATAGTTGCAGGTCTTCTGCTTGTTTGCTTGCTTTTACCTACCCTGAAACTCCTGTCCTGAGGCTCTCAGGAGTCAACAAACACCCGTGAGGTGTCATCCCCTGTCAGCTGTGAAAGCAACAGCGTGAAGATGGCCCGTTTTCAGGTGGGTGACTTTAGATGTGTATTAGTGATGGACAATCAACGCAGCAAGGTGGGCACTTAAACAACCATGTCAGAAGATCTTTTACGGTCAGCCAAATGCATGAGATATATGTGCTGAAAAAAACGCTTGCTTAAAAGCTGTCCGAATTTACGGGCCCTGCTGATGGCTGCATGGGAGCCCCCAGCATGGGGTCCTCTGCGCTGGTTTTCTGGCTCAGTGCAGCACGTCCTGACGTTGAACACGTTTTGCCCAACAGTCTCGTGGGGCGGCAGCTGCTGCTCTGCCACTCCACTATTACCCTCTATATGGGCTACAGGCACCTACGTAGCTGGTTAGGTGACCTGGGGAATGAGTCACGTATGCAGTGTCACAGAGGACACGCTAAACCCTCTGCTCTGAGCTTTCCTGTGCTTGAGTCGTAATTAGGTCAACAGCAAGTTGGGTAAATTAATGCTTAACTAAAATGCAGTCTAATTGTTCAATGTGTATTTCTTACAGAATCTAGTTGTGACATTTTGAATTATTTAAATTGTTGACACACGGAGACCAGTCTGTCAGCTGGCACCTAGTTGCATTTGTTGAAGTTTAGGGGAGAGCTTTCCACTTGCTATACTGATGTTCTTGTCTCTTGGCCACACTGCAACCTGGTGCTGGTGACCGGCTAGTGCTAACGATGCTAATTAAAAGGACCAAGGAGGTTAGTGGGGCTCCTTGTCACGAAGGGTTGGGCAGCAATTCTGCGACTTTTTGGAGAGAAAGGTTTCACAACAACTCCTGCAGAGCCCTCACTTCCCAAAGATTGTGATGTTGCT